GGCTGCCACCGTGTTACACGAGCAGGGGATATCCCCAGAATAATTGATCTTTTGTAAAATATACATATATACAAATCCGAAATACTTCTAAACTTTCTTAAAAAATTAACAAAAGTTCTCTGCCCGTAATTGGCCAAGGAGCGTGAAACAATGTATTCAACATAAAGGTATTTTTAATCTACTATGAAAAAGTAATTAATTAACATTCTTTGCGTAGGTTTTTTTCCCCTTGATTTTCTATCGTTTTTTTTTTTTACAAGCCTAACAATAGTGATATAGTAGAAGTTACACCGAGGTGGTACGCGGTCAAGTATTTAAAAAGAGTTTTGTAAGAGTGAAACTCAACTTCTAAGCATGCCATTTTTCAAGGGTTTACTCCATCTTACTTAATTCATTTCTTCTTTTTTTTTTAACACAAGAAGTTTAGTTCGCTCTTACTATTTGTATTGCCAGCTTTATGAGCAATTCTTGTGTTGGTGTAAGTCAAGAAATTCAATTCTTGTGTTTAACTTTGCAGTTGACTAAATTTAAAATTGTTCTCAGCTGCTTTACTTTAAGGAGCTTGAAAATGTTTGCTTTTCCTGTAAGTCATTTGGTGTAGAGGAATAAATGAAATTTAACTTTCAGGCACAAAATTTTAGCCTAACCCAGACTCATAGTATATGCAATTTATTTGTCACTTCCCCTCTCTGCTTTATTCTGCCTTTTAGCATTTGTATAATTTTTTCTTTGTTTAACATTTGTTACTAATTGCTTTCTCTATAGTTTTTCTAATGGTTTGCATTCTGTCTGTCGGTAACTTTTTTCAGATTGTCTACGTTAATTAAGTAAAGTTGATGGTAAAACTAATATTAAAGAACTAAATTTACTTTCATTTATAGTTTTTGCGAATTTCTAATCGGATTTTTACTAACCAACGCCAAGAGCTGTTAAAGGCCCGTTTCATATCCAGCAATTTGTATAAAATATCCCTTTTAGGATTTAATTTTAAATTTTAAATACATTATCTCAAATTAGATTAAGTTTCGTCGCTAAAACTTTTAATACTTTAACATTTCTTCAAATATTCTAATGTTTTTCAATTTTGCTCTCTTATAGGAGAGAAGGCCTACGTTAACGGCCGTAGTGCATTTTTGTTAGTTTGCGACTGCCATGCTCTTAAGCAATACTACCAATTAGGGAATTCTAAGCTTCATTGATTGAAATGAACTTCACATTGAGTCAACTTTAAAGTTACAAAAAAGTTAAGTGTTTTTTCTCGTTATCAACTTTTTCAAAAGTGTTTCTGCAAAGACTTTCCCCATATATCTAATCTAAATAAAAGTGTCTTTCCAGTTTGCTTCGTGTTAATTTGATCAAACTACACCTCTGGTGAATTTTCTTTGTATTCGTAGTCTATCTGAAAAATAATAAGAGTAAAAGACTTCATTTGTAAGCTCAAAAATGAAATTTCTTATTGCAGTAGTTCCAAGAGTGTATTGAAGCGGCAGCTTGGGTGGCGTCTAGATGATTTATATTAACAATAGGCAAGTTGCGAGAAATTCTTACAGACAGGATCAAAGGTTGCATTAAGGATTTTCTGATGCCTTTCTTACTATTTGAGTATAGCTCCTAAGACCCTTAAAGGATTTTCTACATGTTTTTTTCTCTTCTACTCTAAAACTTTACAATACTACTTATGCATCTGTATCACTTTTCGCTTGGGCAAAGCAGCTCACAACAGATCAACTCTCAGCCGCGAGTTTTACGTTTTAATGTAAGCTTGAAGAACAAATAATGATTTTAGTTAATGTACATCCCTCATTTCTTTATATGTTATAATACTCCTCTCTTTAGTGTTTGGTAAATTAGTTTAATTCGTAAACTTTGAAAAGTTCCTATCTGAAAGGATGTGTTTTACCTCAGATTTTTTCTTTGTTTTATATTGGCGCCGTGATATCTTCTCATTTGTCTATCGTGATCTTCCTTAGAGAGGTTTAGTATTAGGGCGATGCACTTAGTCTACTGCGTTCATAAGTGATAAACGATTTTATTGTAACACGTATGCAACATGTTTTGTTTAAAAAAAAGAAATTTTCGTTTTGGGCATTTATTGACAATGTTCCCTCTGTTGTGTTCGTTTGTTAACAGCCATGTTACTGAGTGGTTTCGCTTCGTTGCCTTAAAACATACGAACACTTTTTGCTTTCTTTAGAATCTAGACTTTGTCTTTCCGTTTGATCTTAACAACACTTCTCTGTTAATTTCCGCTAAGACATGTACCTCCGTTATCAAAAGAGTTCGTCTATTGCATCGCACTACATTGGCTCTGTTTGTACTTTCGCGTCCGAGTTTGTTTATATAGTTTATCATATTGCCTGTTTGTTTCAATAAATTTTCACTCCGCAATTTCCTCTACCAATTTATTTGGCAAATGTTCGGTAACTCGTTTCACTTACTCTTGGCTTTCGTTACTTGTGGCAAACTATATTGCCTCGCAGCGATTTTATATTCTTTATATAATTCTTGTACACCGATTTCATGTTGCTTCGTGAACTCTTGGCTATTTACTAGGGCATGATTTTGCTTAGAAAGATTTAATTTTCTAATCTTCAGCTTCTTTGACTTTCTCTTCTCGATGGCACCTTTCTTTACAATTTATTCGAGTTCTTAAGGCCCTTTTGAACGTTGATGCGAAGGATTCTTCTTTGCGCTTCTCGATACTATCAAGCAGGCATTCGTGGGCGGCCGCATTTTTTTATGAGGAATTTCCATTTAGGGATGTTACTGGACTTTTCAAAGAGTGCAGCAGACAATCGTCTGCAGCAACGAGTGTGAAAGCTCAGAGATTCATTACGCTCATTTTCGCAATGAAAAATTATGGCTGAATTGGAGGGTAATTTTGCTAAGACGAAGTGCAAATTGTATACGATTTTCATGTTTAGTTATAATGTTTAAATAATAATATACATAAGCCTTTAGCAACTGCACTGATTTCTCTTATAGCTTTATTTATATTGCTCCTCCCACATGGGCGCTTTATATACAAACTATGAAATAATTCAATCTAGTTATCATACAACTGTTTAGTAAGGATATGTCCTGACACGATTGAAAAAAAATACTTGTTGCTATAGCAATGCAGCAGCGCTTTACATTGACTTTTGCTTTATTCGGATCGATGATATTTGTTGGTCGGGAGAATTTCTCTTGATTTAATATGAAATCTATTGCTAAAGTCTTTATTTGACACGGATTTATGTTCAGGTTCTTAAAGGTTTGCAAAGGGCTATGTTTGTCTTCACTCCACTTTCGTTCTTCAAAGTCTTCTACGTTTATTGTTGTTAATATTGTTTTCTATTTCTTCGGACTTTTTGCTATTGCTTGTGGTCTCCTATGTTTGCTATTTATTTATTTAACTCATGTTTAGTTTAAGGAAATTGCTCGCATCAGCATATTTCTAAAATGAATTTCATATATGGATGTGCGTGCAACTTTGGATGTTTTACAGAAAATCTATTAATTCTTTCTCTCTCTGCATTTCAGATTTGTCTGCTGTTGATGTCATCCTCCGTTGCACAGGGGAGTATATAAAAAAAAAAGAAAAAAAAAAGAGCATTTTAGTATTAAACACATGAATGTATATCTATGATGGAAAATGACTTTATGGGTTATGGACTGTATATAGAGTGTTTTTCTTTCGGAATTACTAAGCTTACCATTATATTGTTTACTCTACTAATGTGCTGATAAATGTGCTGATTTTTCATTTAAAATCATACATACATACAACACATACCATACTTGTATTTATTACGACCCCGAAGATAATTGGACGAGTGTTATGTCTGTGTTATAACTAAATGTGTGCAAGTGTTTGAATTGTTTGCAAGTCAAGAAAATGGAAAGAATATGAAAAATAATTACAGCAAGCAAACACTAACAGGGTTTAGCAAGTTAACTGAACTGACTACAGCGTCAGCGATCAGCGTGTGTTCAAATAATTTCTAAAAAGATTGACTTTAAGAGTTTTGTTAATTGACATTTGGCTTAAATTTAATTTTAATTAACTAAAGCTTTTTCAACCTTTTTTCACGTTTTTGCTGCCATCAACTTGTAATTTTTGGGCAACAAAAAATTACTCAAGTTTGATTAAAAATATACTTTTTAAACGTTAAGAAATTAAATTAATTTTCTTTTTTTACTCTTCAATTGAGTTGCATGACTTTCAATTATAATTATGACAAAATAAGATAAAAAAACAAGTAAAAGTGAAAAGTAAATGGAAATTCCCTACGCAAATGCCTGTCACTTAGGTAGTCATGTACACCTTGTGGTATAAAATAACTTGTCTAACAAAGATTACAAACTCTTTCATATATGTTCTATGCATACCTATAAGTATGTTTGTGTATGTAAATAGATAAGAGTGTGCATTATTGACTGCAGGACTTGTGAATACCTTTGTTATAGAAGTGAAAAGACAGCTTGAGTAGTATTGTGTACAAATGCACGCATCCTAGCACGTGCACTCTAGCTGTCATAACAGACATGAAGACGCCTTAAGTCTTCTGTTATTAATAAGAAAAAAGAAAAGAGAATTCAGTGTGCTTTGGCACAGTCTCACACGGACATTTATACACTTATTTCTTTTTCATATAGAATATAATAAATCATATTCCCGTTCAATGTGAAGCAGTTGTAGTAGTAAAAGCCTGAAGTTATGCTTGCTTGTCTATGCTTGGGAAATGTTAAAATATTTGATTTAAATATAGCTGGAAATCTACTTTCTTTCGTGCTTATGCATTGTGAGAAAGCGCTTCATACAAATACGCTATGTACGGGGCGTACGTATATACACATAAAACCTTGAGCTAAATCATAACATTAGATTCGTGGTTTAACGTTAAGAAAAAAATTTTAAAAAAATGCGCGAACTTGTGAAATTGTGAGTTGTGGCATAAATACTCTGTGCGAGTATTATTAGTAGATAGAAACGAGAAATAGTAAATGAAACTTACCACCCAATATGCCAGTCATATAGCCGCTGGCATTAGTGCGTGCTTTTTTCATTAGAGCTTCATCAATAAGTAGCAGACGTTGCGAGCTGAATGGATCCGGTTTGACTGGTCCTTCATACAAACTCATATCATCGTGATTGCGGAATAAATTGTGACGTGCTATTACATCTTCCATACCGGCACGATGCAGTTCTGGTATTAAACGCAACCAAATCGATAACTGATGTGCGCGATAATGATTTTTAATCCGTGGTTTCATACCTAAAAATAAAGTAAAAAAAAAAAAAAGGTTAGCTTAATTGAAAAAATTCAACAAAGAAACTGATACAACGAGTTTATAGATCGCCTTGTGTCTTCAGTCTTCAGGCTTTTTTTTTTAATCTTTACATATAAACTGGTAATCATTTGGGCACATTTTAATCGACTCACAAGGTTAAAACCAGCATTATTTGGCTGCAGATGACATAATCTCCAGCGACTATATTAAAAGGGTTAGAACAACAGCAGACGAACATTATTCCAGGCTACTAGGTCGATTAAATAATATAATCAAAAATAGACGGTCGAATTTGAGGAAAAAAGGATCCATCACCGTGGGGCCCCACCCTATTTGTCGACCACGTCACAAGACAATTATGTGAGTTTGAAAATGAATCAACTACAAATGACGGGTTTCTGCGAGGATTCCTTTTTTTTGTCATTTTTTATATAAGGACATTGAATGGGGCAAAGTATAAATGGCATTATTCGACAGGTGAGAAAAATTTATAAACTCATTGGATATGGTTTACGGATTTGCACTTTAATTTTGTCAATGTAAGTATGCGTGTACACATGTACGTACATACATTGCAATTCAAAATATTAATTATGCATCGATCAATAATGAAACTGAGACATTGAAAGAATATTTTTTCTTTGTGCAAATTAGACTTTATTCACCTGTATATTCTGTCTTGTCGTAAAGCAATTCGTCTATACCCTCAAACTACATTTGAGTCTTCAAATTAATCTCGTTATTTAACTGCAGAACTTTTTCTTGAAACATTCTCTGCTGATTTAAGAACAGGTAATAGTCGCTTAGCAACTCGAGCTTCAATATGCGCTTGTAGGTCTCGACCAGTAATCACTGTATCCATTTTGAAAATTGCTTTCTCATGTTAAAATTTTCATGCCAAAAAATGATTACTTGTCTTTTGAAACAGCTGCGATGCCATCTATGCCTTGCGACTCCACTTTTCGACTATCGAAAATAATTTTTTATTTTGGTGTTATGTTTTCCATCACAGTTGTTTCATGAACACAGGAAATTAGAATGTTTTTGATTCTCCCGAAAATAACAAAATTGGGTCCGCTAACATCACTCGTAAAACTCTTATCAGATGAAGGAAAATGACATGAAATTTGTGTGTTAGATCCAGGAAATGCGAACTCAAAATTTTTTATAATCACAAGTTTTTCATAAATTGTTAGCTAGTGCATAGACATTTACATATTTGAAATTTACAGATTTGATTGCTTCTCCACTCATTTCTCGAAATGAACATTACGCCAGTAAATCTTGATTTTAAAGAGCCGGTTATCATCGTAATAAATAATACGAAAAAAGAAATTCATAACGTGCACACAATGTACAACACACAAAGCATTAACTTTTAATCAAACAATGCGCACAAGGCCGTTCTCTTTTCTTGTGGGAAGTAAAACTCTCGAAAAAAAGTAAAGTTTTCTATAATACTTTTTATATCACAAAAAGAAATGGAAATTTTTCCTGAGAAATCTTACCTATTTCCAGATATTTCTGATGTAATGGATCATAGTTTTCCCATATTATACTGCGAAAGCGATTACGTTCTTTAGAAGCTGGCAGTATAGAGTCTTGGCGATGATGTTCATTTGGATTTCTAGAAAAATTTAATTGAAAAGTGATTACGAAAGATAATAAATAAGAGCAGGAACAATGAAAAGAAAAGATTTTATATTGCGTAATAAGATACTTGTTACAAAGGCTCATAAAAGATCGGCGGCAAATGAGGAGAATTTTTATTTTGTCTCTGTCATAAATTTTCTCTGTTGCTGTTGTAGTTTTCGTGGTTAATAGTTTCTTTGCGTTGTATCGTCTTTGCTGATTTTTCTTTCCTCCAGTATGTAAAGCTTTTGATTCATTCTAAGGATAATTTTTACACAGAATCAGACGTGAAAAAAGACACATTGCCTTGCATACACAATAGTGACAAATTAAAACGTGCATGATTCGAGGAAAATACGAAAGTAATAGTAGGGAAAACACTTTGCACAATGCTTTTTTATAGTTATGAGATATATGCATGCTTCTGCAAAAGCCTGCCTCTGTCTCTCTGTCTTTCTCTCTGCGTTTCTCGCCGTTTCTGTGTATGCACATAAAAATTCATATGTATTTATTCTTTTATAACATTGTAAAGCTTTGCCGTGAAAGAAATTAGTTGCCGGTCTTTATAGTTATGTATACTTTTATGTGCTGCTTGTTTTGTATGTGGAAGCCAGCTAGCGAAGCACTTGACTATTAAATGGTTTTTACTTGAGTTGTATATGAGCGTAAAAATTACCACAGTTTTTGTTCAACTTGCGTCAACAACAACAAAAGCAGCAATAAAATCATAGACAAAATAAAGTTTTCCTAGCACAAAAAAATTTAAAAAAAATTAACTTTTACTCATCCGTACAGTGATATGCGTGCAAAAGCAAAAAAAACGGATAAAAATTATAAAACAGGTAAAGCGTAACAGCATTTGTGACACTTTATGGCTTAGTTACGGTTTACATTTGCTACACGAACGATGACATACAATCAAGCAAGTCTTTGCATTTATTGCCAGTGAGTTAATAATAGCACTTACCCGGTTCGGGCAAAGTTGGTCCAAAAAGTAATGACCGCTTCGGAGAGTGCTATCTCGGATTTCGTATAATTTTGAGGAAAATGACTGAAACCGTCTACGAGAGGTGCTCCAAATATGTAGGGTAAATCTTCTCCATGCACTGTGCCCATACGTTGTGGATAGTCGCCATCTTTCGTCTGATAATCGAAGACATAAAAATAACAACGTCCTGATTGTGTTGTATATTGCGTAGAAGCTGAGATGATACCACCAGAGTTACCCAAATTACCAATTCCACCAGCCGATGAAATAGGCGGTGGCGAGTTAATAGCAAATATATCAGCGGTACGTACAATGGGAGCAACGAATTGAGCGTCGGAAAGAGCTGCCACGGCAGTATCTCGGGTATTGATCGGATGTTGAGATGCACGATCCCAATCAGTATATTCATTGACAATCTTAAATATAGAAAATAAAAAAAAAAAAAAATCATTACGGGATACTTTATAAATTCTTTACAAAGTATGGAAAAAGCACCTTAATATATTTATGTAGACATACATATGCACTTAAGAAAATTTCAAATAAACTTATTTCGGTTGAAGCCACCTTTTCATATAAAAAAGCGCCAACAATTAGAGCGGACTATACGACTACCTTTACGTAAAGAGTTATTATTAAAGAAAATTTTAAAGCTGTCTATTGAATCTTTTGTTTTTTTTGGCTTTTCGCGAGCACGTCCCAGAGACGACATTTGTCAAAAGGTTGTAAATAATCGATAAAAAATTTTGTAATTTTTTTTTTTTAATTGCATGTATAATTTACCATTTACCCAAAACGATAATAAGCAAATATTATAGTATATCAAGATGAGAAATTAGCAGAGGTAATAAGGTCCCGTTAGAGACAATATAGATGGCAAGTTTAAGCAAAAAATGTATGTAAACTTAGAAAGTTCATTAAAATAACTGAACGAATAAAATTAAATTCATTTTTAAATGGACGATCCAGTGCACGGCGTTTTCAATCTTCCTGCTTCATTGCATCCATTCGGTAGAGATATTGTCAAGGAATTTACGTGGTTACCCAATCTGACTAGAGGAAGTGGGTTGAATTACATTTTCAATGAATGCTAATAGGATCGCTGTACCACCAACGCACGCTGCAGTTAAAACATTGGTGACGATCGGAAAATCTGAAGTGAAAATTGCTTGTAGTATTGGACTTAGAACGCTTCCCTGAGGACCTCCTTCAATTTTATATATATATATATATTGGATCTGTCAGTTTCATAGAATTTAAGTAGTAAACACATAGGAATTGGAAGAAATGAGTTAAGTTTGAAAAGTAGCTCATCGCGCCGGATCTTATCGAAGGCTTTTCCCCCATCAGGGAATATACCGCCGGAGTAATTTAAACCGAACTGATGTTCAGGAATAAGAACGCTTTGCTGTAGAACTGAAAGTATTCGTCTGGGCATGTGTGCAACCGATAAGTATTAGTTGATGTCCAACTAACCACTCACCATGGCTACGACCAACGTTAACTCTACCGCACTGAGAGTGCTCTTACTTTGTCGTCTCCTTAGGCGGAGATATTGTTGTTATCGCGTATACTGTGCGGAGTTTGTGCAGATCGTTTTTTATTATGGCTGTTACTACAATTATTTTGCTCATGTTTGTTCAGACGAATTACCGATGAAATTTGCAAACCCGTCTATGTCTTTCCAGACGAAGCTCATGTATTTGTATCGAATTATTCATATTTTACAACAATTGTTATTGACCAAAACAGTTACATCGCAACTGTCGAGGCACCACCTTTAAACCCGGCACAATAGACAATATTTGGGCACCTCTTTTTAATTTTAATAATGTGTATTACCAGAATGAAAGAAATACGTCCTCGCAAAATCTTTTAATAAATTTACACACCTTAGTGACACACACAAATAGCACAGCTAGTTTCGCACTAGATAGATTTTATATGTACGATCGTTCTACTGAGTCAAAGTGTTGCTTGTTATTTACTTATTTTGTTGTACATTCGTTCGTTTATTTATTTTGTTTCTTTTAGTTCATTTCACAATTTCAAAAGACATAAACGTAGAAGAATGGATTCGACTGTTCAGGTTAATATAGCAATTTTAAATTAAATTAATCATTTAAAATTACGTGCAATTATAGTGTTTGTAGGTGTTACCGCTTATTTTATGTATATATTCACAAAAAAAGAAGTCTAGGCCTTTTGTCACTTTAATCTATTCTGCAGTGTGTTAGGAAAGCTCCAGAAGATTGTAAACAAAAAAGCACGAAGATAATGATCGCTGAGCAAAATCCACTAAGGACATACGCATAGCAACAGATAAATGGAAAAGCTAGCAACAAAATAAAAATTAGAAAAATGTGAGTGAAGAGAACAAATGGAAAAGGAACCAAGAGAAAGCGATCGAGAAAGCATGAAAGATAAACCAGTGATAAGAGAACACGAAAGAGAGAATATGAAGAGATATCTTTTGTTCAGGTACTATCGCAGGTATTTGTGATATTGTGTCAGAGTTCGATCACCTTGATGACTATGCAGCAAAACAATTTATATCGAAAGCATAGCGAAGATGTTAAGATCTGAAATTCCGATTACGCGCTTGATGGGCCAGAATTCACCAATGCAGAATAAAACTAGGAGGAAGCAGAGGAAACCAAACGAGTAAAAGAAAAAACTTTTCAGTCGCATTCTGAATGCCTTTACAGAGACTTCACAAGGCATCGGTTTTTTTTATAAAAAATATTGTTACTAAAGACTTTTATTGTGACTATTGATTAAAATACGAAATTTGATATAAAGTTCAAAAAACCACGAGAACAAAACATATCAATTTCTCTTATGATGAGCAATCGGTCACAGCGCCAGAAAGCTTCTTGGCTTAAAAAAGAAAAGGAAACGTATCTTAATATACACTTTGTACTCTGATCTCTGATGCGTATTTCCATTTGTTATGAACATAAACATTTGAAAACATATTATACGCCTGCGATAAATGCAAAACATTGAAATGTTTGCTTTTAACACTCGGCTGCAACTATATATATAAATAAATTTAACATTTTGTATAAACTTTTAAAGTTAGTTACCAAGAGCGTAAATAAAATTGAATTTTAGTAGAGCTTAGAAATGGCGAATGTATGTGCGTCTGTGAAACACTTCTCCAAAAAAACGTAAATTGTATTAACCTTTGACCTCAAATTATACGCATCATGTGAATCGCAAACGTACACACATTCGTTTTTACCTTACTTGCCTCATAATAATTCGCTGTTTGTTCAAAGCGTAAATCTTTGTCATAGCTAAGCCTTAATGACAATGAAAATTAAAATGTTCTCTACTGTATATATGTTATGTATCAGCGAAGCTTGCTAATGAGTATTAAGTGCATGTGTAGCAGTAATGTACGTTTATGTGTATTTGCTTTATTGCAATGGTTCTCAACTGTATAATTAGTTTCATCTGTTATGAATTAAAGGTATATATATGGGCGGAAAAGCGGGAAAATGCTTGGAAAGTGTTTACTGGCTTCCTTCTTGTACTCTACTATGCTTAAACTGATACATGTTGACCACAAATTTTTGTTTTAAAGCTTCGGAAAAGTAAGGCACAAATAAACCAAACGCGAGCAGTAATAAAAATACAAATTATTATAATTTTGAAATGAATTGTCACACACACACAGGCATATGTACGTATACATGCATTATATACATTATAAAATATTCAAGAAATTCACATTTCATTTCTTACATATTTCTAATTGTATGTCTGATATGAATTATATCCTTTTGCATATATAAGTGAGAATAATATTATTCTGTATGAAGTCATACAGTTTTCTAAGGAGTCTGCCTTCTTGCATGCTTTCATGAATACATATATAAATTGTTTGTCCTTTATGCTTATGCAAATATGCCGTGCGAGTGCATACACATAAATACACTCGAGTATAAAAATCGCAACATATTCGTACGTTTTCTCTTTTTTAACGTTTTGCGTCCATCTTTTACTCTGTACGCATTATGTGCAGCACAATAATTTAGGTTAAGTGCTTGTTGCTAAGTAAATATACTTACGTATATAAATGTCTATGTGCCTAGGCCTGTGTATATGTGAGTTGAAAAATAAATATGTAGAAAATTTTATGTTTGTGTACATAGACATATATATCTATTGTATGTAATACACCTATTTATGTAAGCAAGTTGATATGTGTATTCAATGTTATTTAAGTATGTTGCAATTTTTACTGGGACTAATGCAAGGACACATACATTAGAAAACAAAAATAAAATGGTTTTAAAATAGCGGTATATACTGGGTAAGTGAGTATGAAACCAGACTTTGCTGATAGAGAACATATAGGTTTGCAGCTACGACATTTCATAGTTTGAATATTAACAACAATAAGCTATCATACCAACACCCATCACGATACAAAAATACTTTTTCTTACAACAAGAATACCGAATTTTGTGCCAGAAAGTATTTTTTTCTGCACGAACAATACAAAGGAAAGTCTTTTTTGCGACATTTACTGATTGGGGATAAAAGGCAGGTCTATTGTGAGAATACGAGGCCTAAAAATTCACGGGCAGATCTAGGTATACCGCACCGTATCAAATGCGAGACTGAATTGCTTTGGCAAGAAGGCGATATTCTTTAGAAAGAAGTCGGTCGATCATTACCTAATGAAACGGTTAATATGAAACTTTACTAACAACTTTTAATCGACTTGAATTGTTTGTTGTTGAAAAAACAAGCGTTGGAAGCACTCAGCTGGGAACTATTAAACCGTGAAGCCTACTTATTATATTCGAGTCTTTCGAATACCGCTTTTATCAACGGGATGCTTAATTGCTAAGCAACATACGACTTGTACGATAATGGCTTGATTACTGGTCTGCCGCAAGAAAATTGCAGTATTTTTGCAGTGAAGGGATTCATTAATTACGAGACAGATAGGAATATTTTATCGCACAGGGCAATGATCTGGGTAAAATAGTTTTGTCACCATTTTCATACAATAAATGTTTTATTTTCTACGCCAAACATTCCAGTTTCATACGTAAATACCTAATACATTTGTACACATATGTAGATCATGTGGTGCGTAAGTATGTTTATTTATTTCGAGACCATTGAAAATGTTAACGGCCTCAGTGCATTTGTAAACTTTCAAAATAAAACCATATGAGTTCTAAGGAAAGGATTTTCACTGTTTATGCAAACATGCATACACTTACTATTCATTTATATGTTTGTTTGTTCTCTTACTTTTTTCTTTTTACACAGATTTGTGTTTTTATTTATTTTTTTACAAAGAAATCACTCGTAAGGACAATCAAACTTACGCTCGACAACATTTTTATAACTACCGTAAATATTGAAAAAGTGTTTTGTTTTATATTCA